TCTAGTCCCACCTTAGGCATGAAAACCAGTTGAATGACTTTGGGCCAGTCACTTTCTTTTAGCCTAACCCACCTCACAGGGTTGTTTTTTGTGGGGAAAATAGGAGAAAGAACACGTTTTAGATATGTTTGCTGTCTTGAGTTATCTGTAAAAATAAAGGCAGGATATAAATAAACAGTTGGAAAGAAGATATGATGAGAATTAGGCCGAACATGTAGCTCTGATCTGGCATAGCCTAATTATTATAATTATGTACACAGCAATGTGTACATAATTATTGGATCCAGTTGGCCAAAGAATTTCAGATGAGGATTGGTAGCTAAACTCCTTCTCCAGATGTTTGAAGCACAGAAACATCTGTGGAGATTGTCCATCGTCCAGATTATCATAAAGCTCCTTTTTCCAATGGTGACTGGACTTGGTTTTTCCTTGAAGAAGTTTCTCTCCTCATTCGAGAAGCTTCTTCAGTTCATTCTTCAGACCTGAAGAAGCTTCTTGGATGAGGAGAGAAACGTCTTCAAGGAAAAACCAAGTCCAGTTGCCATTGAAAAAAGGAGCTCTGGGAAGAGAAGAACCGAAGCATTTCCTGGCTGTTAAACTAGATTTGAGAAACGCTACTGCTTTTTCTTATGGTTTAGCTTTTGATCAGAATTAACACTTAGATCCTGTTACTGAACGCAGGCAGACAAAAAACGAATCTGGAAATAGTTGCAAGGAAGAGAAGAAGAATGTCTTGGAATTAGATTTATTTCAGAGCTGCCCATGTAATATGTATAGATACATCTGGGCCATCAAGCTGCACCAAGCAATCCCCCTAGATTGGAAAATGAGTTCCATGAATATCTGATTAAATTGGCATCAAGCCAGCTATATATTTTGAATTTTCTGTATTCCCCAAACAACACTGCGATACAGCAGGATACTGGTTTTGAATTAAAGAGATGGGATTTCCCTTTTTCTATCAGGGTTCTGCATTTAAGAGTGTTTCAGATGCAGAGAAAATGGATTGCTTCTAAATAGCTTATATTTCTCTCTCTCTCTCTCTCTCTCTCTCTCTCTCTCTCCCTCCCTCCCTCTCTCTCTCTCTCTCTCTTTCTTCATATATTGCAGCTATAAACAGTTAACGGTGGAGTGATTATCCTGCTACAGAGGTCCCATAATAGATAATTATTAAATTACAATGCAATTACATTTTTTTTTAAAAAAAATTAATTTCATTTTTCCTGAAATGGTATAGAGCCTCCTGCTTGAGTAGATGGGGTGGACCACAAGACCTCCAACATCCCTTCCAACTCTGTTATTATTATTTTAAAATTTTAAATAGTTCAGTAGTTGTAATTACAATTACAGGAAAATATATTGCACCTGATGAAATTCTGTAACATTTTAGGTGGCATCAAAGCTTCAGGTGGGGTTTATTTGCAAGATAGATAGATAGGTAGATATGGATGGATGAATGGATGGATGGATAGATAGATAGATAGATAGATAGATGATGATAAAGATAGATAGATGATAGATAGATAGACAGATAGATAGACAGATAGACAGAGAGACAGACATATAAATTTCAGCCTTACCTTAATAACTTTGGACTGAGTCCAAAGAATGAAGCAAGTAATGAATGTGTTTGTAGACTTTTCAGGTAACACAAAATATTTTGTGGGATTCGGGTTGTTTTTCGGCTGCTTGTTTTTGAACTTTTATAATGTGCGTCATTGCTTTTATTTTAATTCGGTTTACTCACCAAAATCACTCATGGAGATTGGTGGCTGCATAAATCGGGGAAAGAAAGAAAGAAAGAAAGAAAGAAAGAAAGAAAGAAAGAAAGAA